ATCTCGGAAATCCTTCGGGCAGAAGTTATCGCCACCAGGAATGACACCTTGCAGGAGAGCAAAAGAAGGGAACAGGACGCTGTGACGTTATCTAATTAAAATATAACCACATAGATCATTGTTGCAACCACTGTACAATATTTGCTGCAAATATATAACAAAGGTCGTCGAGTGAGGTGTCTATGAAAAGGTTATGATTTGTTGGTTCTGATTACGATATCCGTATGCATGTATCATTTTTGTATATGAATTTATAAATATTGTCCAAGTATAGAGCCTTTAAATGTTTGCTCCTGAGGTAACGCCCACAAGGTAACGCCCTGCACATCTTGGAGGGACTATTCAAATTAAGTGGCTCATCAAGAAACACTTGGTTGACAACGGACCATGGGAGATGTCCATTTACACTGAGTGGACTGTCATGTAAATGTGCTGTCTGGAGTGTAGGTAATGGCTTCCTGCAATGACGGAGGGAAACTGGGCATAAACATATGACTTGCCCATGTGACTCCAAACTCCATCTTGTTGCTGTAATTTTCCACAGTAAGAACAGTGGGATGTCCTCCACATGGCAAAAGCTATAAAAGGCCCTGGAAACACCTCCATTTGGTCTTCAATCCTGCTTCTTACCTCTGGAGGAACTTTGCTACAAACTGAAGTTCTGAACAAAGGACTGAATGATCCATCCAAACTGTGGATGTATTCTAGAGACTTGACTTAAGCCAGCAATTTACTCCATCACTGCTACAAGCCTGAACCAAGAACTTTGCCATTACTGTATGTAATTGATTCCTTTAACCAATTTTAACTCTCACCTTTCTTTCTTTTTATAAATAAACCTTTAGATCTTAGATACTCAGGGATTGGCATCAGCATGATTTTTGGGTAAAATCTAAGTTATATATTGACCTGGGTGTGTGGCTGGTCCTTTGGGATCAGAAGAACCTATTATTTGATGAGACTGGTTATAAAGAACCACTCATCTCTGAATCCAGTGTTTTTGGTGGTGATATAAGAACTGGAATGCCTGAGGAAACTGCCTTTATGTTTTCTTGTTAGCCAGTGTGGTGAAACAGGAGCTTACTTTTGAGGATGGTTTGGTGTATCTTATAAAAAAATAACCACCAGTTTTGGGTTGCATTTGCCCTACATCTCAGCAGTTCGTCCTGAACTTGGCATCCTCAGTTGTGACCCACTAGGGCACGGTTACAAGAAGGGAACAGAACACCAAGGGCTCAAAGGGGGCTTTCACGAGCCACGCGAGCACCAGATTCCAGGCTCACGGAGGGACTGGGTCCCGGACTTCGGGATAGAGCCACTCCAGACCTTTTAAGAACCGGACGGTCATGTTATGAGCGAAGACCAACCTGCCCTGGAATGGAGGGTGAAAGGCTGATATAGTGGCCAAGTGGACCTTAACTGATGAAAGGGACAAACCCTGGACCTTCAGGTACATAAGGTAGTCCAGGATTAACTGCAGCAAGGCCGGCTCAAGCCTAACCTCTTGGGCCAAGGCCCAGCACATGAATCGTTTCCATTTGGCCAGACAGATCGCTCTAGTGGAGGGCTTTCTACTACCCCGCAGGACCTGCTGGACTCGAGCCGAGCATTCCTGCTCCTCAGCAGTTAACCACGGAGCACCAAACTGTGAGGTGCAGAACCGCCAGATTTGGGTGCAGGAGCCGGCTGTGATTCTATGACAGAAGATCTGGCCAGAGGGGCAACTGCATCGGGGTCGTCAAGTTTTTTACAATTTTTATCATTTTCGGTGCTTTCCTTTGGACTCTTTTCAGTTTGTCCACATATTTCCTAAAGTGTGGTGCCCAGAATTGGACACCGTACTCCAGCTGAGGCCTTACCAGTGCCAAGTAGAGTGGAACAATGACTTCCCATGTCTTACATACAACACTCCTTTTAATACATCCCAGAATATTAGCCTTTTTTTTTTTTGCAACGGCATCACATTGTTCACTCATATTCAATTTGTGATGCACGATAACCCCAGAACCTTTTCAGCAGTACTACCATCTAGCCAGTTAGTCCCCATTTTGTAGTTGTGCATTTGATTTTTTCTTCTTAAGTGAAGTACTTGCTGGATGCCATGGCTACAGTACTTGGACTTATCCTTACCGAATTTCATCTTGTTGAATTCAGACCAACTCTCCAATTTGTCAAGGTCAGTTTGAATTCTAATCCTGTCCCCCAAAGTGTTTGCATCCTCTCCCAGCAGGGTGTCATCCACAAATTTCGTAAGTATACTGTCCACTCCCTTATCCAAGTCATCAGTAAAAATACTGAACAGTACTAGACCCAGGACTGACCACCAAATACATCCTCTTAGTTTTACAGCCGACCATTGATAACTACTTTTTGAGTACGGTCTTTCAACCAGTTGTGCACTCACCTTATAGTAATTTCATTTAGACTATATTTCCTTAGTTTGTTCATGTGGGACTATGTCTAAACACTTACTAAAATCAAGATAATACCACATTTACTGCTCCTTCCCTCCTGTGGTGCCTACGCCAGTAACCTCATCAAAGAAGAAAATTAAGTTGATTTGGCATGATTTGTTCTTGACAAATCCATGCTGGCTATTCCTTATAACTATTATCCTCTACGTGCTTACAAATTGATTGTTTAATAATTTGTTCCAGTATCTTTCTATGTATTGAAGTTAGGCGGACTGGTCAATAATTTCCCGGAGTTGTCTTTGTTCCCCTTTTTTAAGATAGGTACGTTAGCCCTTTTCCAGCCCTCTGGGACCACACCCTGAGTTCTCAAAAGGAATTGCTAACAGTTTAAAATTGCTTTAGCTAGTTCTTTAAGTACCCTAGGATGAATTTATAATATAATAATATATAGAGAGATATACCTATCTCATAGAACTGGAAGGGACCCTGAAAGGTCATTGAGTCCAGCCCTGCCTTCACTAGCAGGACCAAGTACTGATCTTGCCCCGGATCCCTAAGTGGCCCCCTCAAGGATTGAACTCACAACCCTGGGTTTAGCAAGCCAATGCTCAAACCACTGAGCTATCCCTCCCCCCTGCCACATACATCTAACTTATCAGAATATTGTTTAACCATTCCCTATTTTGGCATCCACTCCTTCCCCCTTGTCATTAATATTGTTTTGAGTATGTGGTTACCATTAAACTTTTTAGTGAAGACTGAAGCAAAAGAGGTATTAAACAACTCAGTCTTATTGATGTCATCAGTTATTAGCTCTCCTTCCCCACTAAGTAGAGGGCCTACACTTCCCTTAGTCTTTCCATTGCTTCTAACATGTTTAAAGAACCTCTTCTTATTGCCTTTTATGTTCCTTGCTAAGTATAACTCATTTTGTGCCTTAGCCTTTCTGATTTTGTCCCTACATGTTCGTGTTATTCTTTGGTACTCCTTCTTAGCAATTTATCCATGTTTCCACTTTTTATAGGAGTCCTTTTTGACTTTCAGGTCATTAAAGAGCTCCTGATAGAGCCATATTGGCCTCTTAGTAGTCTTCCGATCTTTCCTTTGCATCAAAATAGTTTGCAGTTGTGCGTTAAATATTGTCTCCTTGAGAAACTGCCAGCTATCCTGGACTCCTTTATCCCTTAGATTTACTTCCCAGTTCTCTGAGTTTGTTAAAGTCTACTTTTTTGAAGTCCATTGTCCTTATTCTGCTGCTCTCACTCCTCCCTTTTCTTAGGATCATGATATCTATTATTTCATGATCATTTTCACCCATATGTTCTTCCACTTTCAGATTTACTACTAATTCCTTCATCTTGGTCAGAATCAAGTCTCAAATGACCGTTTCCCTGGTTACTTCCTCCACTTTCTAAAACACAAAGTTGTCCCTGGTACATTCCAAGAACTTGTTGGAAATGTATTTTGCCATACTACTTTTCAAACAGATGTCTGGGTAGTTAAAGTCTCCCATTACTACCAGGTCTCCAGTTTTGGATATTTCTGTTCATTCCCTTCCATGAAAAACCTACAGAAGGAAAAAGTTTACTGCAAAAATTTAGTGGGCTGAAAATTGGGATAAACATGCCCCATACTCCTTGCATATGTGATTAGCAATGGGGTGCAGGTGCACAGTCTATAATCTGGCAACCATGTGGAGCCCAGTAATCTGAAGCAAATTCTGGCCCCAAACCCTACAGATCTCCAAACATCTGCTGCAGGAGTGCCTGCTCTTTTATGAACCTCTCATACCCTTAACTCCAGCAATGGGCAGCATGACTCACACAGCTGCCATAACTGCATACTACATAACACCCAGAGGGGTACATTAAAGCCACAGAAAAAAACTAGCAGCAAGCTGAAACAAGCAGCATTAGCTCCCAAGTGGCAATTTGCCCCATAATTGAGCTCCAAAGTTCTGGGCTCATGGTGTATAGAGTGTCTGCTCAGAAATTCCGACCCCTTATGGCTGGCCATGCCTTCTTCAGTCTTGCATATTTGACAACACATCACTGTAAACAGGATTGTCCAGCACTTCACAGTTGGTGGTAGGCCTGCCTAGTAGCCTCTCATCCTTGTCACCCAATCCAAACAGACCTCTTTTGTGAACTTTTGTTTCTCTCCCCACCATGCAGCAAAGGGAGCATATGGCCCCAAAATACTAGTTTTAGCTGAGGCAAATTTACATATGAAACACCAGTACTATAAGCAACATTCCTATTAAAAAGAAAATACACAGGAATTACATACTGAACAATTTACTCATAACTGTCGTTACTATTTGATATTTTAAAATACACATGCTTATGTCTAATGAGGGCCAAGACAGATATAGGAAGTGGAAAGCCTTAGAAGAGCAAGGTAGGGACATTGAGGAGGTGGGGGAGACCTTTACTACAATAACTGAAGGATGAAGCCAAAAAGTATCCTTTAGGGCATTTAAAAAAAATCCACTTGCTTTACAAAATTATAGACTTAAGTATTTCTACTAACATTTAGAAGACTTGTTTCAAACAGTGCCATGGCTATAGGTATGGCTAGACTTACATGGACTTCTGGGTGTAGCTTGATAAGAAACCTTTTTCTCTTGAAGCTTAATTTACGGACCTTAGACCAGTTGAAGGTGTTGATTTTTGTGGTACCCTAAATGAAAAACAAAATTATTTATGGCTAGCAAGAAATGTTTACAGTCAAGTTGTATCTTGAACAGTAACAAATGTCCCTCCTTGCCCACACAATTCATTGTATTCAAATCTATTTTCAATTTATTCCTTTGATCAGTCTTTATCTGCTTTGCAATATCATTCATAGATTAATAGAAAACATAGGGTCTTCAAGCAGATATTGAAGGACAATATCGGGTACTTTGTGGTATATACAAGTTTTAGATAGGTATTTTTGTTTTTTTGTAAACTTTCCGTTGTTCATTCTACCCAAGGGTAGCTCTACAAAATCCAATTTAACTGCTCACTTGGGTTGAGTTTCCCAGGTGTCATCAATATCTGCAGAAGTTACTCATCTTGTGCAGTAACGATGGTTCTTCGAGATGTGTCCCCCTATGAGTGCTCCACCATAGGTGTGTCTAAGTCCCTGCACTGCTGATCGGAGAACTTAAGTAGCAGTGCCCATTGGGCCCGCACATGTACTGTCTCTCCTCGTGCTGTGTCACGAGGCTAGCCAGCGCACACAGGCTAATCGTCCTCAGTGCCTTCTCTACCACAGAGTCATAAACGAGAACTCAGAACTAGAGGGGAGGAGAGCACGTTGTGGAGCACCCATAGGGGGACACATCTTGAAGAACCATTGTTACTGTACAAGGTGAGTAACTTCTTCTTTGGAGTAGCATTCCTATGGGTGCTCCACTTTAGGTGACTCCCGAGCAGTACCCCTTTTGGAGGGCTGGGACTTCGAAGTTGGGTTAGTTACAGATGACAGTACTGTGAAGGCGAAGATGGCATCGGAGGTGGAGTCCCCAGTGATCGCATAGTGTTCTGCGAAAGTGTGGACTGAAGCCCATGTCCCCACTCTGCAGATCTCTGTGATGGGACATCCTTGAAGAAGGCAACAGATGAGGAGATCAATCTTGTGGAATGTAAACAGATTCGGGGGTGGGGAGGGAGGAGATCACGTTAAGAATTTGGTAGCACTGTCTGATGCAATTCAAGACTCACTTAAGAGAGTCTTTGGGCTGATATTGCTGAGCCCTTGGATCTTTCCACCACAGAGGTGAAAAGTCATGGGGACTTCCTGAAGGCCTTTGTCCTATCAAGGTAGAAGGCCATGGCTCTCCTGACATCTAGGGTATGTAGTATAACCTCCCTATTGTCTTGGTGAGGCTTGGTGTAGAAGACTGGAAAGTGAATTGATTGATTCATGTGAAACAGGGAGGTTACCCTAGGGATGAATTTTGGATGTAGCCTGAGTATAACCTTGTCTGGAAAGAATACTGTGTAAGGGAGATACGCCATCAGAGCTGCTCTCTCTCCTACCCTTCTGGCTGAGATAATTGCTATTAGGAAGGCCGTTTTCACTGATAGGTATGTTAGCGAACAGGTGGCCATTGGTTCAAAGGGGGGGGCCTAGTCAGCACTTTCAGAATCAGGTTTAGGGAATCGAGGTTAAGGGACGAGGTTGATACCACCCTTAAGGAATCTTTTAGTGGTTGGGTGCGACAGCACCAATAAAAGGCTGTAATAACTGATAGATGGACCCTAAGAGAGCTTAGGAATAATCCTGACTTTTTAAGGGTCAGAACATAGGACTAGAATATGTGGAAGAGTTAATGACGTTGGAGAGATTTGTTGGGAAATGAACCAAATCTGAAACCTGGACCATTTCTGACAGTAAGTACATTGTGTGGTGGACTTTCTACTGTGTAAATAGAACCTCCTCTACTTCCTTTGAGCATGAACTTTCTAGGTGCTGGAACCAAGCAGGAGCCTGCGAAAGGAGGTGCAGATAGGTCGGGAGAGAGATCAGTGGGCACATCACAAGCTGTATCAGGTAAAGATACCAGGTCTGCTTCAGCCAAGTAGGAGCAATCAGGATGACGTGAGCTCCATCCCTGTTTATTTTTAACAGGAGCTTCAGCAGAAGAGGAAACTGAGGAAAGGTGGAAAGGTGGTCCTTGTCCCAGGGGAGAAGAAGAGCATCGCCCAGAGACTGCTGTCCCATCTCCACCCTGGAGCAGTAGCATCAACACTTCTTGTTCTGGTGAATGGCGAACAAGTCTATGGATGGTGTTCCCCATCGTGTGAACAGGTTGTACAGTACTGATGAGTGCATCTCCCACTCATTATTTTGTGGGAATTTGCAACTGAGGTTGTCCACTATCGAGTTCTGCGTGCCCGGGAGGTAAGCCACGGGATAATGTGATGTTGTGAGAGATGCACGAGTTCTATAGTCTCACAGCCTCCATGCATATGGAGGGCGACCTGGCCCCCGGCGACGCTTGATGTAATACATGCAGGCTATGTTGTCTGTTAGGATCTTTGCATGTGATCCTGCGATCAGCAGAAGAAAATAGGCGCAGGCATTCCTGACCGCTCAGTTTGAGGAGATTGAAGTGTAGAGACATCTCCGTATGTGACCATTTGCCTTGTGTCATTAGGCCATTTAAATGTGCTCCCCACCCTATGAGTGGTGAGTTGGTGGTAAGAAAGAATGATGGTGACACGTATGAGAAGGGGATCCTTTTGCACACATTGGTTGGGTCCTTCCACCAGTTTAAGGAATTTTTGAGCCTGGTGGGTAGTGACAGGTTTGTCCAGCCTGTCCCTGTTTGGTCTGTAAACTGAACTAAACCATAATTGGAGGCATCACATGTGGAATTTGGCGTGTGGTATCACCACAATGCCTGCTGCCATGTGTCCAAAGAGTTGGAGGCAGAGTCAGGGCAGTATCTGTGGACTGTACTGAATGGTGTTTAGGAGTGAAGCCAGGGATAGGAACCTATGCTGAGGTAGGAGGACTTTTGCCTGTATGGCGCTGTGACAGGGTGTGCATACCCCGCACTAGGAGAGAAAGGTTTAATCCCACACTATGGGCGGAGGAAGTCCCGCCCCTCGGACCGTGCTGAGCATGCGCCAACTGCTGTGCTACTATAAAGATGAGCAGCTCAGCTCAGCTCAGTCTGGGCTAGTCACTGAGGAGGAATCACGACTGGTGGAGGCTCCAGGCCAGGAGTCGCTACAGCCTCTAACTGCGAGAGCCAGAGATCCCAGGAACTACACCAGAGACGTGCTACCTACACCCGATTGGCAGGAGTCAGAATTCCAGGGAGCTACCCACACCAGGGAACCCGGAGACCCCACAATACACAGCTTCAGGAAACACAGTAGGAAGTGGCCCAAGGAGGCGGAATGAGTGGTATCTCCCACCCATGTAAGGTCAGTGTGTTGCGGTAGGATCCCCGCTGACTGGGTGGTGAACACACTCACCACTGACAGGGCCCTGGGCTGGGACCTGGTGGAGTTGGGTGGGCTGGGATCCCTCTAGCCCAGTCGCCACCCACCCCAGATCTGGCCATGGATGGTTGCGTCAGTTGTGGAAAGTGGTCTCGCGGCGCCTCAATCTGCCTGTCAAAAGGGGTATTTATATGCAGGTGGTTGGGACAAGGTTTGCAGACCAGACAGTTTGTGCTTCAGGAATTTCCCTTTCTTTCTCTGTGGTTCTTAATGGTGCTGAGGTTAATATTGAGCCACATATGGTCTGTGTTGAGACTGGGGACTAAAACACCTCTTTTACCCCAGTGTACAGATTCCCAGCAACCTCAGGGTAGCCCTGGAATCCTTCAGGGTATGAAGGGAGGCATTGGTCTTTTTGGCAAAGAGCTTCGTACCCTCAAAAGGAAGATTTTCCACTATGGACTGCACCTCTTTCGGGAATCCTGATAAGTGGAGCCATGATGCTCGTTGCATCACCATCGCTGTGGAGATGGACCTACCTGCCGTGTTGGTGGCATCGAGGGCCGATTGTAGTGATGTTTTTGCTACTAACTGTCCCTCTTCTATGATGGCTTTAAAGTATTGCCGATGTCCCTTGGCCAGTTTGTCAATAAAGTCGTTAAGTTTGTAAATGGTTAGCCCGCACACTCTGTCTAGCCAGTGGTGCAGCATGAAGAGAGACAATGCATGTGTGGGCCCAACGGACACAGCTACCAAAGTTCTCTAATCAGCAGCACAGGGACGAAGACTCACCTACAGTGGAGCACCCATAGGGCCATATGAGCAAATGCTGAAGGAACTGGGTATGTTTAATTTGGAAAAAGAGGAGATTAAGGGGGGACATGATAGCGGTCTTCAAATACTTGAAAAGCTGCCATAATAAAAGATGGAGAAAGGTGGTTCTCTCTTGCCACAGAGGGCAGCACAAGAGGCAATGGGTTCAAACTACAGTATAGCAGATTTAGATTAAATCTCAGAGAAAACTTCCTAACTGTAAGAACAGTTGAACAATGGAACAGACTGCCAAGGGAAGTTGTAGAAGCTCCTTCACTGGAAGTTTTCAAAAGGAGGCTGGATAGCCATCTGTCTTGGATGGTTTAGCAATAACAAATTCTGCATCTTGGCAGAAGGTTAGACAGGATGACCCTTGTGGTCCCTTCTGACCCTATGATTCTGTGATATAAGGTCAGCTATTAAAAAAAGTCAGAAGAGATTTGTAGATTAAAGTGACTGACAGTTACTTAAGGAATTATAATCAAAAGGAAGATGTACGTATCTGGTATTATTTCTCCAACCTACCTGGAATACTAGTACGCCCATGTGTGAAACAGCCAGGCTAATTTTCGACCCCTCACGGTCAGATGCAAGGTGAAATCGAACGCCATACATCTCCAGTTTCCGAGCAATTTCAAGCACCTGGAAATCTGACTCAGCAGGAGTTTGGCCCCTCCAATAAGGAATAGAAGCATAAAAATAGAGAATATTAAAAACAACCTGATTTTATAATACTTTCAAAGGGTCCAAAGTAATTAATCTATATGTCCAGAACTAAGCAATAATTTTCTGCCTAATTTACAGACAATTTCACTCCATGAAAGTATTACTGCTACCTTTGTAATTTGACTAACAAAATATATCTGGGGGAAACCGATACAGAGAAGCAAATGAAAACTGGTATGAAGGTTATCTGATTCAAAACCCAGGAGGTCAACAGATCACTGTCCAAACAGGAATCCTGTTCAGTTTGATTTCTTGCTTAGGAATACATCGATATATCCAGAAAACAAGGGGGAAATTGAGAATATTGCATAACAGCATGACAGAAACATAGCAAACGTTGCAACAATACAGGACAATCTAAAATGGGATTATAAAATCAGATTAGAATTATCCAGATAACATTGTATGAAATTAAGTATACAGTACATTCGAAGCATATGCACTTCATTTAAATAAAAAAAATCTAGGAAAACCTAATATAATCAGGCCCTATGCATTCTATGATTCTATGGTCATAGAATTTACCCACTGCCACAGAACTGTAATCCAAAACCCTAGGTCTCTTTTTTAAAAATATCACATTTATACCCCTTACAGTTGCTTAGATAATGGTGAAAAACAATGGAGTTTGCAAACTTTTTGAGTTTGCAGAGAGCCTGAAATAATAGTTCAGAGAGGTGTGACTTGCCACCAGACTTCAAGATGCTGCAGTCACAGAATTCAGCACATTTTTTGCCATGGCATTGCCTCCCATCTTCCTGCACTGCCAAAACATGCCTGCACCTTCTCGTTTTCCATCTTTCCCCACCGGAGGAGTCAGCTGGATTTCAGCGTACCCTTCCATAGAGCACAGCAGCAGGGCCTCAGGAAAACAAGTCAAATCTAGCTTGTTGCCAGGGAGTGGGTGGAACCTGAAGTGTAGACTGTCCACCTGAGCTTGCCAGGATGACCACCACAATAGATAGACAATACCCCGGGAGCAGAGAAGATGAGATACTGAAGTTGGCTTCAAGCTCCCCATTTCCATGATACATACTGAGGTAAGGAGCTATTGAGCAAGGCCACCTGGACAACATTTTAACTGCTGAGACCCATAGATGTGGACTGCCCAGAAAACAGTGAACAGGATCTTCAAGAGTAACCTTTGCTAAAAATAATGACCGCCAAATTTACATCAAATTAGTGTTTTCAACTGTAAATCATAGTTTGAGAGTTTGAGGGTGACAACCCTCATGGAGATAGGAATTAAGGATATTTCACAAAGCCAGAATAAAAAGAACATTGCCATGGAATTTAGGAGTTCTTGCCACACAATTTAGTCCCACAGTGCTGCAGAATACACAAGGGTCTGATTATAATAGGAGTTTGGTGTAACTGTCTGACAAAGGCAACCTCAAAATTTAGAGGTTCGGCAACATAACACTATACCAAAAGATCCCACAATGATTACTATAGCACTATTTCTGATCAAGTGCTGTTTTTGCCATCTACATTAGTGCACTGCATACAAGAAAGGCAACAAATGGAATTTTTCATACAACAGTTTAATGGAAGGAAACTGGATGATGGAGGAAGGGTAGCGAGCTGGGAAAAATAAAGGAACTCAGCGATTTTTGCTTAGAACTGACTAGCCCCAACACAGGCTGTATTTATGTATGCCATGTTAAAACATGCTTTTAGAAAAAAATTTACCCAGGGAACAGCTCTCCCCCCATAATAGATATTCAATTAGTTAGAATAGACTATATGCTATTTAGGGTATGTTCTGTCTATTTTTGTATACTATCCTGTACCAAGTGTAACATGAGCATTAAATAAATGAATAATATTTTCCTGCAATACCCTTTCCTTCTTCTAGCCTTTTTTTTTTTAGATGCCTACTCCTAACAGTTTATAGAGTTACCATTAAGACCAGACATCTTTGTTCTATTTCTAAAAAGTAATGTTTTTCTGTTGAACATGTTCAGATGAATTATTAATAATTAAAGTAGAATTTATGGAAATAGGGACCTCTTAACTGCATGCATGGACCATCTTTAAAATTAATACCGGTACAACCACAGAACACATTCAGAATGCAATCCTTTTAAATATGAAAAAGTACTGCAGGAATCATGATTCTCTGACTCTTGCAAGTGGTTACATACTGGAAAATCATTGTGCCACACAGGTTCTGGGTGAGTACAAGGTGGTTAAAACATTCAGTATGGTTTCTACTGCTTTATTCTGTAAGAACAGCGAGTACTTGTGGCACCTGTTTGCGAACAGGGGCTGCTAACAGGGAGTTTCGCAAGGGAGTTCTCCAGGTGAAGGAGGAGCAATACAGCACCCTTTTGGGGTAAGTGACTGTCTGCAGTGTGTGTTTGTTTGTGTTTGGGGGTTACTTGCTGTGTGCTGAGCTTGTGTTTGGCAGTCTGTTTGTTTGTTTGGTTGTTTGAAGGACCGTGTGCTGTGGCTGACAGTTGGAAGCTGTGAGCTTCAAAGGAAGGTTTGAAACCAGGAAGCCTCTGGTAATTGGCTGAGCCTTACTCAGTGGGCGGGGCATTCATACAGGCCAGGGCTTTATAAAGCAGCGCACAAGCGACCAGGGAGCGTTTGCGACCAGGGGCTGCTAACAGGGAGTTTCGCAAGGGAGTTTGGAAGGGGAGTGGGAAGGGGCGAGGGTCCCTTGCCGGTTCTATCTGTTTTCCCTTTATTCCCCTTAAAACTTTAAACTTCTTGCTTAAACAACCCTTTCAGCGGACAGGGGGCTGCAGACGGGAGTTTGACAGAGGGAGGCTTACGATGGTTAGGAAGACCCGCAACACCTGTGCCAGCACTGCTTCTGTCTCCTCCACCTGCGCCTGTAGCCAGACAGAGCGCCTGAGCATGGATGCTTCTACCCAGATCCTGGTGTGGTTTTGCAGAGACTGTAACTTGCAATTTCCACTTACTGATATCCAGGCTGAGGGGACCATCCAATGTGAAAGGTGCCTGCTGGTGGAATCTCTCAGGCAGCAGGTGGGAGAGCTACAGGAGGAGGTGGCTAGGTTGAGAAGCATCCGAATCCACGAGCAATTCCTGGACAGTGTCCATGTGGAGACAGCTGAGGTAGCTGTCCCAGGACACAGGACTGCTGATACACCACTGGTGGAGGAGGAGATGGCTCAGGGTGGACACTGGCAGCTGGTTACTTCTGGCAGCAGGCAGTGCTCCACCCCTGCTCCGAACCCTCCCGCTGTGGTAATAGGTAACCGTTATGCTCTTCTTGATACAGGAAAGAAGGCATCACCCCCTACAGTAAAGGAGGAGAAGCCTCGTACCCCTAAGGCTGGGAGGTCTGCTGCCACCACTGCGAATAGGAAACGTAGGGTAGTGGTGGTCGGAGACTCTCTGCTGAGGGGGACGGAGGCGCCCATCTGTCGCCCTGACATTTCATCTCGGGAGGTATGCTGCCTGCCGGGAGCCCGTATCCGAGACGTTACGGAGGCATTGTCGAGGATTATCCAGCCCTCTGACTACTACCCCATGCTACTCATCCATGTGGGCACAAATGATACTGCGCGGTGTGACACTGAGCGGATCAAGAGTGACTACAGGGCTCTGGGAGTACGGGTGAAGGAGTTTGGAGCGCAGGTGGTATTCTCTTCGATTCTTCCTGTCAAAGGTAGGGGCCCGGGCAGAGACAGATGCATCATGGAGGTGAATGCCTGGCTGCGAAGATGGTGTCGCCAGGAGGGCTTTGGGTTCCTAGACCACGGGATGCTATTTGAGGAAGGACTGCTAGGCAGAGATGGTGTTCACCTTTCGAGGAGGGGAAAGACCCTATTTGGACACAGACTGGCTAACCTAGTGAGGAGGGCTTTAAACTAGGTTCGACGGGGACAGGTGAGCAAAGCCCGCAGGTAAGTGGGGAACATGGAGACCTGGGAGATGGGTCGGAGACGAGAGGGAGTGTGGGCTATATTGGCAGAGAGAAAGGAGGGTCAGGACAAAACCGGGAGGAAAGATCAAACCAGTATCTTAGATGCCTATATACAAATGCGAGAAGTATGGGTAATAAGCAGGAAGAACTGGAAGTGCTAATAAATAAATACAACTATGACATTGTTGGCATCACTGAAACTTGGTGGGATAATACACATGATTGGAATGTTGGTGTGGATGGATACAGTTTGCTCAGGAAGGATAGACAGGGGAAAAAGGGAGGAGGTGTTGCCTTATATATTAAAAATGTACACACTTGGACTGAGGTAGAGATGGACATAGGAGACGGAAGTGTTGAGAGTCTCTGGGTTAGGCTAAAAGGGGTAAAAAACAAGGGTGATGTCATGCTAGGAGTCTACTACAGGCCACCTAACCAGGTGGAAGAGGTGGATGAGGCTTTTTTTAAGCAACTAACAAAATCATCCAAAGCCCAAGATTTGGTGGTGATGGGGGACTTCAACTATCCGGATATATGTTGGGAAAATAACACAGCGGGGCACAGACTATCCAACAAATTCTTGGACTGCATTGCAGACAACTTTTTATTTCAGAAGGTTGAAAAAGCTACTAGGGGTGAAGCTGTTCTAGACTTGATTTTAACAAATAGGGAGGAACTCGTTGAGAATTTGAAAGTAGAAGGCAGCTTGGGTGAAAGTGATCATGAAATCATAGAGTTTGCAATTCTAAGGAAGGGTAGAAGGGAGAACAGCAAAATAGAGACAATGGATTTCAGGAAGGCGGATTTTGTTAAGCTCAGAGAGCTGATAGGTAAGGTCCCATGGGAATCAAGACTGAGGGGAAAAACAACTGAGGAGAGCTGGCAGTTTTTCAAAGGGACACTATTAAGGGCCCAAAAGCAAGCTATTCCGCTGGTTAGGAAAGATAGAAAATGTGGCAAAAGACCACCTTGGCTTAACCACGAGATCTTGCATGATCTAAAAAATAAAAAGGAGTCATATAAAAAATGGAAACTAGGACAGA